TCTTTGGGAAGGACAGCTATGCAAAGAACCCTCCGCGGCTGTCCTCAGCCAGGGCTGACATTTTGGGAGCGGTGACTTGAGACGGAGCAAAGTGCCCCCCGGGGTCTCACTGGACATCCCTCATCCTGCCTCCCCGCGTTGGTTGGGTGAAACACCGGCAGCGCTGCGTTGCTGCTGAGGGAGAGCCTGGCTGTGGGAACTTGCAGTCTTTGGAAAGGGGGACCAAGATAAATTCCCTCCGCATGGATCACCCTCCCCCTGTCGCAGGGCTGGGGAGCTGCCCCTCACTGCCAGCTCCCTCCTGCAGGAGGGTCCTCACTCGCCTCCCCTGAGGTGCTGCTCCCCTCTCTCTGCCTTGGTGGCAGCTCTGATTTATCTGTGACAGCCACAGGTTGGCCAGAGCAGAGGGAGCGGAACAATGCTCAAAGCAGAACAGCCCCAACGGTGAGAAAGACCCCCCGGGGAATGTGGGAGAAGCTTGGTGGAGCCGTGTCGGACAAAGACGGACGGGAGCCGCACACCCCAGCGCTGGGAAAGCACAAACCCAGAAGAAGCAGAGGAGAGGAGAATGTCTTGAGCGAAAGCAGGCTACCCAGCGAAGAGGAAGAAAGAGGTTTGCAGAACAAACCTGCCATATTTTCAAAGGTGAGTGTTGCTGGGGCATTGCTACGGGAATCACACTCTTGATACCTCACCCAAGTCTTGTCCAAATCCTCCATGAAGCCGTTCTCGTGGGACCTGAAAGCACAAGGAGAAGGATGGAGTAGACACAGGGGACCACGTGCTCTTTGTGCCTTCATGCCTCTCCGTCCTAGGACTCTGCGCTCGCCTGCCACCTACAAACACGCAAACTGGCAGCTTGTGTGTGTGCACACCTGCGTGTGCTCGCCTGGTCGGCTGCGTGTGCAGCCACTGCTGCCTCCAGCCACGCGCACGGTGCAGGGGGGGGGCCACAGACGCCTAGAGCCAGTGCCCCGTGTCCGAGAACCGGATAGCTGGCCGGCTGCTGCCAAAAAGAGCCGTGTGTAAGTTTGATTCCCCAAGGGGAGTAATGGAGCAGACGGGCTCGGAGGCAGGCTGCAAGGAGCTGACACGAACCACATCCCCTGTGCCCTCCTGCATGGTCCCTGCCACCCGCCAGGGACACTTGGGAGCTCAGACAATGCTGGGCCCCAATCCTGTGCGCTGATCACCAGCTCCCTCTAGACCAGGGCAAGGGCAAAACTGCTGCTTGGCAGCTCCCTGCAGTGCAGGGTGAGGGCTGGGACCCCCCAGCAATGAATTGTCACAGCTTGGGAGGGACAAACCATGTCCCTGCAGTGCCTGTGCCTGCCTGAACAGCTAGTGGGGATGGGAGTGGGCATAGAGCACATGTCCCACCACGAGTCCCCCCGCACTTTTCTCCCTCTTGCTCCTGGCACGGCCCCTCCACCTTCCTGGGCCACCCGTAGCCTGGCCCTTCCTCATCCTCTCCCAGGAGGACACCGAGGGCTCCTGTTGCCTCTCCAGGCTTCTCACATTGTTGTTCCAAACCCCATCTGTCCCTCTGCCACCTATCCCCACGGAAAGATCACCCCACAGACGGGGTCCCGTGGGTCCCTACATTCCCCTGGGTCCTGCCTGTGGTTTCCACATCCTGCCCATCCTCTCTCTCAGGCCTTTCACCTCCTCATCTTCCACAGGACTTTGACCCTGTCTCTCCATAAAATTAATCTTGCATGTCCCCCTCTCTCCATTTGCCGCTTCCCAACTGTATGTTACTCCATCACCACATTCTTCTGTCTGCAAGGAGTGTGGCAAAATACAAGAAAATCCCTTTTTACTCATAATACCACACTGACTTGTGGCACCTCACCATGCCGGTATAAAAGCCTCACTTGCACTCAGTGGGGGTCCTGATGTATCTCTGCCTAACAGGAATAGCCAAAGTTGAAAGAAAAACCCCTGGAAATTCAAGCCAGGGCCGTGAAACGCTGTCGGCCAGGCTGAGCTCACAGGAAGAATTGCAGGGAGAACGGCAGCACCCCTGCCAGGACCTGGTGCTGGATGGCCCCTGGGCTGCTCTCGAGCAGCTTTTGCTCGAGCTCCTGCGCCCGAGGTCACCTCCAGCTCCCTGCCCTGCTCTGCTCTGCCCTCCCACCAGCTCCATGCTGCCTCCCCAACCCTGCAAGCTGGAGCTGGGGCTCTGGGTGCCCACCCGGTTGCTCAGGCATGTGCCCTTTGTCAGGAGTGACGCAGCAGTCCCCAGAGCCTCCCTGTCCCTGCAGAGGGGTGGCAATGCCTGGCACGACGCTACTTGCGTGCTAACACATGCAGCATTTGGGGCAAACCCCACGGCGAGAGCTGTGTACGGACTTGAGGATGGCCAGGGAGACGTTCTGCTTCCATGGACTGTCCTTGCGCATCCCGATCCCGAAGCCGGAGCGGAAGAAAAGCTCCCCCGTCGTCACCAGGTCACACTTCTGCGAGGCTTCGAACTCCAGAACCGCCGAGTCCCAGATGAAGGCGTGGAGCTTGCTGGACACCGAGAGAGGACAGACAAGTAAGCCCGGCTTGTCTGCAGCAACTGTGGGAGCAGTGAGGGTGCTCCCAGCCTTAACTTGAGCACTGATTAGCATCGCCCTCCTCCTAGCAGGAGGCAAAAGGCTTGGCAAAATTTTGGAGATGTGAGGGGTTTATGTGGGAACTGAAGCCACCCAGCCTTCCACAGAGGCAAGAGCAGAGATCAGAAAGGGAGGCCAGGGAGAGGGCCAGGGCTCAGACTGTGCCTTCTCCCATGCAGACCCTGTGCTCTCCCTCCGGAGAGCTGGTACGCACTAGGACTAGGGAGATCCCACCCAGAACTATCTGGGCAGACCCTATCAAGCTACTCTTTGACTGCAGCTCCCCTCTGGGTTTGCACCAGCCCTGCTTGCCCCACCAAACTGCAGCTCCCTGCAACTCTCCCCAGTACGGGCAGGCAAGGGGCTGGCCCCACTCACTTGTCCCTCACTGCCTGGATGGCTTCGGCAGCGCTCTCGTAGTTGTGCTTCTCCATGTGCCGGTACATGGTGCTCAGCTCCACCTGCCGTCGGAAGTAGATGTCCACTGAGCTCTGCTTCACCGTGGCGTAGATGAATTTGTCAGAGGGGTTGCGCAGCTGAAAGGCAAGGGTAGGGCTTCTATTTCTCCTGTCCTTCATCAGCCAAACTGGCTCACCCCAGAGCTGTGTTTCTCAATCTCCCACCTCCCTCAGGGACCTCTTTCCCGGAGAAAACCTTGATGTCAGCAGGGCTGAAGATGCCATGAGGCCCTGGGACCATGGTGGTGGGGCACGGGGTGCTCTGGGACCATGCTGGTGGGGCAGGGAATGCTCTGGAACCATGGTGGTGGGGCAGAGGGTGGTCTAGGACCATGATGATGGGGCAGGGAGTGCTCTAGGACCATGGTGGTGGGGCAGTGGATGCTCTGGGACCATGGTGGTGGGGCAGGGAATGCTCTGGGACCATGGTGGTGGGGCAGAGGGTGCTCTGGGGCCATGGTGGTGGGGCAGTAGATGCTCTGGGACCACGGTGGGGTCAGCAGATGCTCTGGGACAGGGTGGCACTGAGGATGCAGGAGGTGTGTGGATGCCATGGGGCTGGCAGCACCGTGGGCAAAGGACTCAGTAGCGTGTGGGATGCTGTGGGTCAGCGCTGCTGTGGGGCACACTCCTGTGTGTCTGGGCTGATAGGCTGTGTCTGTGTCCTTGCCAGAGCAGGAAATGGGTTTGAGGCATGCTGGTATCTGCTGAGAGTATTGACCGCACCGCAGGGACAATTTCATTAGTTATAACTCATCCATAATGAATTGTTTCCTCGTTGGTTAGTGCAGGCTCTCCAGGAACTGGCAGGCACTTTGCCTGGGTACGTGCTACTTCTGGGCATGGACTTTTTTTTTTTCCTT